CTCATGAAATTTTAACGCATCCATGGATGGCCAAAATTCAAAAAAAGTTGTAGGTATCTAAAGTGATAGTTGATTATTGTATACTTCCAAGCAAGGTGTCTACACTTATCTATTTTGACCGTAAGTATCCTACACGAGTGTTGGATTTATGCTTGAAACTTGAGAAACCAAAATATGAACACCTAAATCATACATTATTTTGTGTTATATTTTTTTGCCTGTAATATTGTTAATTATACTTTCTATAAAAATAAAAATAAAAACAAAAAAAAAATTATAGAAAATGAAATGTTTGGTTGTGTTATTAGGTTTTTTTTGAAAGTTTTTTTTTTCATTTTTTTTTTGGATTTTTTAAAAGTTTTTTCTTATTTTCCTTCATTTATATCTAATCTTTTTTATTGTAACCATTATAATAAAAAAACCCTTTATTTATTCATATGTTTGTTTTGAAGTGTATTTTTTTGGTAAGAAAGAATTCAGTGGTCCCAAAATTTCATATGATTTTTTTATATTATTACGTAACGAGTTTGTGATAGTCAGAACAAATAACTTCTACAGTCGTGTTTTAGTAGTACTTATTTTCTACTTCTCTTTTGACTGTAAGTATTTTAAATTCTTTTTTTTAATATAGTTAATCGAATGTTTGAAAAATTTATATTCAGTTTGTTTTTAAATTATATTTGAAGTTGCACACGCTTTGACTCATCATTACCAGGTAATCTCTTTCACTTGCAATTTTATTTAATTCTCTACAAAATGAGATTAGTACTTAAATTAATATGCATTATAAAAATATAAAAACAAACATATGAAAACACTTACATAAAAATATAAAGCTTATTATGTTGTGAGTATAGGAGTCGCGTTGTAGTTAACAATCTCATAATATATTATTACTGCCTCTTACATAATTTTATATAATGTAGGCACATTTTAAAGATAGCTGGATTTCATCTGCGTAAGTGTTAGTTTGCTAATAATCTTAGGAAAAATGAATCACGATTACCCTGACACATCAAATTTGAGACATGTGCAACAACAAAATCGTGAACGACGTTGTTTATACCTACAACAGAGGAGGCAACGCTCAGCTTCAGAACCAAATGCTCAAACTGAACAACCACAAAGAGAATTCGAACATTTACGCCTTCAAAACTTAGGCACTGAACAATGCTCAGCAAGATTGGAGCAACGTCGTCTTGCTTAGCGTAGGCGAAGATTGTTTATTCACGAAACAAAGTGCGAGCTTTAATGTGCAACACAGAGAAATTCAAAGGGAAAGTTGGCATAATTATGCCAGACAAAGAAGGGCTGCTTTGACTATTGAACAGTGCGAACAACAACTAGCAAGGCGATGAACAAATTATTGACAAAGAAGGCAAATATCTGAAAATCTCGAACAAACTTCTCATCCAGATCAAGTACATAATATGACAAATGCACAAACAAGTAGGTGTATTCAAATGTTATAAACATTATTATTTTTGTAAGCTTTTACACTTCTAAATTTGACATTAATATTCAATTAGTTTATTATTTATAATTTTAACTGTTAGTATACATGTTAAAATTTTTCGATGCAATCCCAAGAAGAAATAGAACAGGATGGCGTAGGCCGCGAGCAACAATTTTGCCAACCATTCACGAAGAAGGCAATTTGGTTGCGACTAATGTTTTTAGACGGGAAAGTAGAATGACTCTTGTCACAACCCAAACTTGCCCTTAAAAGTTCGGGCATGACCAATGCAGATACGGACACATAACCTGATATACATAATATATGGGGCCTGAACGGAAGCATTTAATATTACAAAGTAACATAGAATAACATCCATTGAGCTAAAACTAACATGCCAGGATCACATACGTGAGAGCCATTTATCTATATACATACCCATACATATAAATGAGCGTATATCCGAACATTGGTAAAGAAAGGGGTCATATA